GGCTATTACCCCCCCTGACCAGGGCACCTCTGCACCCTCAGCCTTCAAACCCAGCCTGAGACACCGCTCTCCTTCTCCTCACAGAGCTCCTCCTACCTCCTCAGTCCGAGCACCACCTTGCTCCTCACCATTCAGGCTTATTCCAGCATCTTCTCCCACTCCTGTATGCCCAAACAACATCTCCAAGGCTCTTTCCAGCTTATCTCCGACTCCCCCTTTAACCAGGAAAGCCCCGTCTACCCCCTCTCCTGCATCTTCCTCATCATCTGTAAGAGGCCCTCCTCCCTCCCCTACATCATCCTCTACCCTTCGCTCTCCCACTTGCTCCTCCCCCATCACTTCTTCCTCCGCATTTACCAAATCCTTAGCTGCCTCCTGCATCAGTCAGTCCATCAGTCAGAGCATGGCAAAAGACAACACTGCCCGCAACAGCGTGAATCTAAGTCCCTCCTTACCTTCCTCTCACTTACGACGGCGTTCCCCTTCTCCCAAACCTCCTTCCAGCACACCTGCTTGTGCTCAGTTAGGATGTTCCAAGGATGGGTACCAACATCCAAGATGCCCACCGTCCACTCTCCGGACCTCTTGCACTTCTCCATCCCTCACACCATCTTCTCCTCCCTCTCTTTCCCAACGCTCTCCAAGTCCATCCCATTACCAGCCGGCCTACGCTTCATCCTCGTCACCACGTCCCTCATTCCTTCACAGCAAAACTGGTTCTTCACAGAATTCAAACAACAACAACAATCACAGCACAGCAATCGGTCACGTGAGCTGCAGCTTCAACAGTGCTCTCAGTAATGGAGGTTGGTTGGTAAGTCCACAGAAGGAGGCGTTCTCCAATGGGAGCAGTAAAGCCGCGGTAAAGCAACAATCCCAAGATTCCCTCTGGTCAGGATCACACAACCGTGTAGCCCGGCCTTTCTCCGCATCCGAACCCAACTCACGAGTCCAGTCCCCATCTCCCTCTCCAGCTTCATTCATCCACCTTTGCTCTCCACCTCCACAGCACAATTTCTCCTCCCCCATGGCAAGTAAACCGCCACATCCCCGGAGCTCAAGGGTAGGAAGTGCAAGTTCCCATAACCCATTAGGTCTAACTTTGGAGCTTCCCATCACCTCTCCCATGAGTTCTTCTTCATGTCCGAGCCCGCGGATCCTCTCCCCACCTCCTATCGGTGTGTCAGTGAATGTTTGGGCAAACAACGTTGCGACACCTCAGCCTAGAAACGCTAGATATGTTTCCTCCTCTGCCTCTCCTTCTCTTTCATCAACATTGGCGTCTTTCCCAACTTCTTCTTCGTCCTCCTTTGTCCCACAGAGTGGTTTCAAAGGATCTTTCCCTTCTGGACCCGGCCCTACCACCTCCCTAAGCCTCCGCAGGTCTTTCTCCTCCAGCCTGGCCGACAGACCTTCCAGCCCAGCCCGGCTCAACGCTGCTGCCCAGCGATGTTCCTGGGCGGACAGCAGCCGAAGGTCCCTAGGTTTCAGTGGAAATGCCCATCCTTCTTTTGACCAACACGAGTCCTGTCCGGTCAGTCCAAGGAGTGGATGGTCCTCTTACAGCAGCTCGCCCGCATGCCTCAGCCCTGAAAATGGGCTTCAGTCCCCACCCTCATCCAGCAAATTTTCCCCAGGGAACGGCACCGGGGGTGGGCAGCATTTTACCAGCGTGCCCTGGCCAGATGTGCGAGAGCTTTCAAACAAATACAATGGAACGGATATCCCGGATACAGGCGATACTTGCACCATCAGTGCCTCGTCTCCTACCCCTGTGTCCTCCACTGCTTCATCAGACAGGCAGATAGACTGGGAAGACCCCGAGTTAGAGCAGGGAAACTGTCGGAGCCAGCTGATCTGCGCCTACCTTAGCCGACCCTCCTCAAGTCTGACTCTGTCCACCTCAGGAATGACCTCTCCTCCACCTGCCCCCTACCAACACCACCAATTCCACATTAAACCACCGCCTCAGGTTCAAATCTACACCACAGCACCTCCTGTGCCCCCAGTCTCTTCTGCCCTGCCCTCAAGAGCATCACCGCTACCCAAACAGGGCAACCACAAGGCCAGTTATGCCACCACAGTCAACCTACAAATTGCTGGAAGTGGCAGAATAACCTCCTTCAGCACGGCCCAAGTTAGCCTAACCCAAACCCTGCAGGGTGGAGCAGGAGCTGGAGTCGCAGCACAGGGGCAGATGGTGAGGAGAGTAAGCATCAACGGACTCTCACAGCTTCCTTCAGCTCTTCCTCAGAACTGTAACAGGATATAAAGCAGTGAGACTAGTCGTTCATTCATGGAGCCAGAAGGGAAAATATGGTTCTCACGAATGGTCCCGACCTCATCTCGCCGTGTAGATAGATGTTTTATATGTGCAGTCTTCACATATCGCTGTCTGTTATAAAAGATGGACGTAGCCACAGTGACGTCGCAGGTTGGTTACGAAACAGGAAGTGGTGAGCGAGGGGTGAAACAGCCCTCAGTCAAAACGTTAACGTGTCATCTTTACCCTCCTTTCCTGACTCTGATGGGACCAAAACTTCCACAACTCATAACTGAAGGTTCATCAGGAAATTGAGCCCATTGTTTATACGGGCCTCACGTTTTTATCTGACTTTGAATGCTGATGGAACTGTTTGCAGAAAGGTCAGGATACGGTGCAGAATAAAGGACTTTGTAAGTAACACTGTTCCTATGTGATCCCCCCCGTCCACAGCTGGATGTGATGGATTATGACCAGCTAAAGGTTGGAAGATTGCTTTGATCAGTCCTGGACTACCTGTGGATGCATTTGAGACTTTTTTTGTGGAGAAGACTTTCAAACTTTTAGCATTTATTGAGCTGGAGTACATCCCAACCCTGCAAACAGATGTTTTGAAGGTCCAACTATGCTGTATCCAATCATGTGTATTATTTTTATGATCTTTTCTCATCATACAAGCATCCATATGCGGCTGTCTGAGGCCAGTGTTAAAAGTTGGTGATAACTGTGGTTAATGATCCATCTCTTTTTTAATCCTTTTTCCTTCTTTTTTTATCTTATTGTTTATTTATGAAGTTAGTCTTATTTTCTTTGGCACTTAATATCCTTAAAGTAATTTTGGTGTTTTTGCACAGTGTCTTCAGCTCTTGGGTGCATGCATTGAGTGTGTGTATGCGTGTGTACGTTTGACATGACGTGTCTGGTAAAGTTTTACTTTTAACTTCAGACCAAGCTGATATCTGTGTTTTTGCTGAACTTGGTACTCACTCTGCAGACACCAGTGCCGTCCAGAAACCTCCTCCAGAAAACTCGTGAACTCCAGAGGTTGCCAAGATGGATACTGGAGCATTAGCTCCTCAGTTTGGACACATATTTTCACTGAGATTTTTTTTTCACTACACTTTTATTTATATAATTCCAAGACACGACAACAGTTGCTTCAAACTGCTTCATATTGTAGGGTAAAAACCGTACACTATTATAAAGAAAGCCTAACAATCAGACAACCCCAATGAGTAGCAGTGGGAACTCCCTAAAAACTCCCTGAAAAGCTTTCAGTTAATCCAAAATGCTGCTGCAAGAGTCCTGACAGGGACTAGAAAGAGAGAGCAGATTTCTCCTGTATTGGCTTCCTGTTAAATCCAGAATTCAAAATCCTGCTCCTCACATACAAGGTCTTAAATAATCAGGCCCCATCTTATCTTAATGACCTTGTAGTACCTTATCACCCTATTAGAGCACTTCGCTCTCGCTCTGCAGGCCTACTTGTTGTTCCTAGAGTATTTAAAAGTAGAATGGGAGGCAGAGCCTTCAGTTTTCAGGCCCCTCTTCTGTGGAACCAGCTTCCAGTTTGGATTCAGGAGACAGACACTATCTCTACTTTCAAGATTAGGCTTCAAACTTTCCTTTTTGCTAAAGCATATAGTTAGGGCTGGACCAGGTGACCCTGAATCCTCCCTTAGTTATGCTGCAATAGACGTAGGCTGTCGGGGGATTCCCATGATGCATTGAGTTTTTCCTTTCCAGTCACCTTTCTTGCTCTCTATGTATTAACAGACCTCTCTGCACTGAATCACACTTTTTCTCTGTATGTATTATTGTAGGGTCTACCTTACAATATAAAGCGCCTTGAGGCCACTGTTGCTTATTTGGTGCGATATAAATAAAATTGAATCTTTTAACAGGAAGAAACATCCAGAAAAACCAGGCTCAGGGAGGGACGGCCCGCAGCCTGCATCCGCATATCTAAGGGAGAATTTAAATTTTTGTTTCCTGTTAAAACAAAACACACGGTTCGAGTTTTGCATCTTAGTCAATACTTCAAAGAACAGGAAGGGAAGAAATATGATTGTTATCTCAAAATCGTCCATAGCAACATGAAAGACTTTAAGGCCACTGAACGACCCACAAGCATCTCGTGTTGTTAGGTAAAATGTGTATTGCTGGAATCATTCACACTGATTTCTGCATCAAAAGCCTCTTTGTGGGAGCTCGACTGTTGCTAGCAGATCTCCTACAGATTGCGTGGAAGACACCGACTCATCTGCAGAAACTCGCCGAGCTGGAGTTCAACTTTAAAACGTGCCTTACCTCTAACACCAACGCTTTTCTAATGGCAGATGTTCTCCACGTCCAGTTTTTGTGTCACACACAGTTTCAGTACCAGTTGGCAAATGTTTGCAGACAGGTTGGCATCCTCCTTGTCACCTACTTGCAACTGACGCAACTTGCAATAGCAAAAGGGGGTTTTGGTGTGGCTCAATTTCACGATACCAGCTGCAAGCAACAGCCCACAGCCAAATATGAAACTAATGCATGTTTAAAAACGTAATAAGACGCTGAATGAGTTGTGAGGTTTCTGCAGGGCACTGGTGACAATCTGCAGGGACCAGTATCTTACTGGTAACAGGTAAAAAAGGGAACTTTAACTAAATCTTCTTCCAGTAAACCTGAGACAGTTTGAGAAATACAGGAAATAAAAGTGTGAGTTTTAAAGCCGACCTCCTGCTTTACTGTGTTTGCTGCCTCTGGCGTCTGTGACATCTTTACCTGCCT